TTCAACAAGCATGTTTTTTCCCCGCTTGGCAAGCCAAGCTAACGTGACATGTGGGCGTGGCAGCATCGACGATTCTATTTTTTTATTTGATAATCGAAGTTGAGCATAAATTTTGATCGATTTCGATTAAAAATCTAAATCGAGACACCCCTACAGGCAACATAATGCAATTCAAAAGCATAAATAAACAAACAGGGAAATATAAAAATATAAATCACAAAATATGGAAAACTTTTCCAAGGTTTTTTATAGTCTAGTTTACCGCCGATTTCTTCAAGATTGTCTTACAGGCTTTTGAGTTTGGGGTCTGTGGTAGAGGTCTGCACGAGACTGTTTTTATTGTCCCTAACCACTCCCTCTGTATATTCAGTCTTTGTTTATCCGCTGCCCCCTTTTTCAATTTTCAACCTGATCTGACCGTTCCTGCTAAATTTAGATCTGGTTTCCAAAATCTCACGTTTAAATCTGGTACTACCAAGAGAGAGAGATAACAGATAAAACTGTAGGTTGTGCAAGGATTGTAGGCTAAATGTTTTTGTTCGCCTCTTTTTAATGAGACATGAGTGCCGCCTTGAACCTGAGGTTTTTGTGACTGCTAAAAGGTTTAAAATTTTAGGGTATTATCACATTGCGCAAAGGAAAAAAAAAGTATTATTTGCATCTATGACACATGAGAAAGATTCCCATACATCAGACTTTCCTTATGTGTGTTTCCTAACAGTAAACTGATCACTTTCTAATGCGAACTGAACGTCATTCAAGGATGCTCAATAAAAATGAGGAAATCACAAATATTTAGTTGTTCTGAAATAACATCAGGACTCGGGAACGCTATATTGTTAAACAGCCCGCTCCTGTTCAAATTACACTAGAGTTATCACCCCCTACTTCATTTTATTCTGAAATTTAATCCTGCGCCACAAGAAATCTGGTCGGGTCCCGTGGTACAGAGGTGAGAATGCAGACCATTAGTCTGTGGTTAATGTAATTTGACAATATTTAATTTTTTTTTTTCTAAAACAGTATTTGCACAAATTTGCAGCCCAAACATTCTGAGCTACTTAGTAACATATTTTTTCTGTATTTAAATCATCCATGAAAAAACCACCAGAGGACAACATTGAGGGAACCAAAGGTGACCTATTATTTAGGGTTTTATTGTCATCCCAGCTGCACTGTATTTATTAACCTAGTTGTAGTGCGCATAGACATTGTGTACACATAAAAAACACAGAAGCTTCAAAAATGTTTTCAACACGTTGGCTCAAAAACATTATTTAGTAGCTGTGTAATGGAAGTGGTGTGGCTCTGCTGCAGACCCAGTCCTTCATCTGTTGTAATCTTATGTTGGTTTGCCTTGTTAAAAAGAAGTTCTTATGTTTGTTTCTGCTTTTTTTTTTTAAATACTCTTAAATATGAGGGTTTCTGCCTTGGTTGGCGTTGTGTCTGGCTGCGTTTGTGATTGCAACCGGCTCAAGACCAAATGTGGTGAATGGCATTCTCACCTACACGCAGGTATGAAATTTTATTAAAATGAGGAAGCTGCAAGCAAATTAACAGACATTTATAATGACACTTTGACTGACTCATCTGATCAACCAGGTTTAATACTTGGAAGATTTGAACTCGTACGAGTTATCAAGCCATTTGCCCACTTCATATAAGTATGTAGACTGAATTACTCGATTAACACGCATGTTGGATAAATGTTTGGTAATATAAAAGATGGATATAAAACTGTGTGTCGCCTTTAGTTGGGGAAGTCAGATCAGAACATTATATACTGTATACACCTTTACCCAAATATTGAGCTAAGTTTAAACCAGAAACTAAAGAGATACAACTTTGTACAGATCAGAGCAAAAGAGGAACCTACAGCAGACTACTATAAAGATACATGTGGCACGTGTCCTTTGATGCTTGTGGACATATACATAATACCATTAGTTGTGTTAAGACTGAAACAATTCAAATGTACTCAAATAACAGGTTATGGCTTACTAAGGATCTTAAAATATATCTAAATGAGCCAGAGTTGGTCCTCCAGCAGAGGTGGAAAGTATTGAATTACATTTACTCATGTTACTGTACTTAAGTAGTTTTTTTGAGAATTTGTGTATGGGTTTCGCAGTGATGTAATGTAATGTAATGTGTATTTATATAGCGCATTTATTGTGTATGGCCATACACCTAAAGCGCTTCACAATCATGAGGGGGTTCTCTCCACACCACCACCAGTGTGCAGCATCCACTTGGATGATGCGACAGCAGCCACAGGACATTGGCGCCAGTGCGCTCACCACACACCAGCTATTGGTGGAGTGGAGAGACAGTGATCAAGCCAATTCGGTGGATGGGGATGATTGGGAGGCCATGATCGTATGGCGAAGTGCCATGGGATTTTTAATGACCACAGAGAGTCAGGACTTCGGTTTAACGTCTCATCCTTAAAACGGCGCCCACTGACAGTGTAGTGTCCCCTTCACTTTTACTGGGGCATTAGGACTCACATATACCTCAGGTTGAGCGCCCCCTGCTGGCCTTACTAACACCACTTCCAACAGAAACTACTGTTCCCTAGTGGTCTCCCATCCAGGTAATAACCAGGCTCAGCCCTGCTTAGCTTCAGTGAGTAACCGGTCTTGGGCGGCAGGGTGATACGGCTGTGGCCAGTGATGGGTTGCAGCTGGAAGGGCATCCACTGCGTAAAACATATGCTGGATAAGTTGGCGGTTCATTCCGCTGTGGCGACCACAGGTTAATAAAGGGACTAAGCCGAAAAGAAAATGAATGAATGAATGTATAACAACAATTAATATTTTACAGTACTGTGACGGTTGGGTTTAGGGTTGGGGTAGGCTTTAAAAAATTACATTTATTGGGTAATTTAATAGGTAGCATAAATAATAGTCAATACAACTACTGTTTTTCGTTACTGTGACAGTTGGGTTTAAGGTTGGGGTGGAGGTAGACGTTAATAAAATATAACAAATATCACATTTAATAAACAATATAAATAATTCTTGTTAACTTTCAGCCGCAACTGTATCCAATCTAGCAACAACTAAAATACTGGGGTAAAACAAACTGTCATATTTTAAAAACATGGCGGGGGGAAAAGGACTTTAATGCGGTGCTTCTTGTCCGATCTGAAACCCACTTCATATCGTATATCTAACAGGCAGTGAAGATCAATGATTTTTAAAGAAATCAGATCTTAAACATGACAATTTTGAAATGGAATGACGTCATCGGAAGCCATTGGGCTTCCTGGCTGAAAATTAAAAATCCATGTGCATTAAGCCCATATAGCTAACAGATGTTGCATTAGAATTTGTGAATTTGTATAAATTGTTAAATAGTATAATCTGTCAAATATTTTAAATAATATATCATTTTTGTTATTGGTCTTAAAATTTTAAAGTTACTTATACAAATAAAAACAACTAATTGGAGATTTATATTGTCTTTTCCCTTTTGAGAAATAGTTACACTTTACTCGTGGGAACATTTTTAATAAGTATTTTTTTTTTTGCTTTTACTTGAGTAGATTTATAGACATGTAACTTTACTTTTTACTTGGGTAATTTTTTATTTTTTTTTGTAAAGTAACAGTACTTTAACTTGAGTAGAACATTGTATTACTCTTTCCATCTCTGTCCTCCAGGAATGTGGTTGAGAAAAATCAATCTAGTGTATTCACCCATTTGTTTCACCTTTCGTTAATCTGTAAGTTGGTTCCAAACTTATGAAAAGAAACAAACCAGAAGCAAAAATATCTAATGTCAGTCAGTTAAAAGATTTCAGATCCATATACCTCTTACATTCACCTGGGGCCCCCTTCTCTAACGCCACACATTTTGCGCTACGCCACTGGGTGGGGGCACAATCATACATTAATTTTCTTTTCGGCTTAGTCCTTTATTAATCCAGGGTCGCCACAGTGGAATAACCCGCCAACTTATCTAGAACGTTTTTATGCAGCAGATGCCCTTCCAGCAAAACTCATACACTACTAACAATTTAGCCTACCCAATTCATCTGTACTGCATGTTTTAAGACTGTAGGGTAAACCAGAGCACCCAGAGGAAACCCACGCAAATGCAGGGAGAACATGCAAACTCCACACAGAAACGCCAACTGTCCCAACCGAGACTCGAACCAGCGACCTTATTGCTGTGAGCCGACAGCACTACCTACTGTGCCACTGCGTCGCCCTGGGGGCACAATCTTAAAGTATAAAGAGAGAGTCATCAAAATAACACAATTTGGATCAAAGCCAAAAAGAGGCAGTTTCAAAGAGTTATACAAAAATATTTGTGGGGTATTTTGAGCTGAAACTCCACATAAACACTCTAAGGACATCAGAGACTTATTTTACATCTTGTAGAGGGCCATAACAACTTTCAGTAATAGTACAGTGTGTAGTATTTTGAAAGTATTAGTTTTTCTAACTAAGAGTTTCTATTCAGTTAATTCAGGTATCTTAGTTTTACAAATGGTGTGCGTTTAACTCACCGTCATTTGCTTTGACATACTTTCTCTCCTGGTTTCTATTTCTGTCTCATTGAAAGCATCATTTGGAGAAACAGGAAAAACCACTGTGACTAAATGTTTATCATTTGAATATTACAGTAAAAAGACTCATTCGGAGCGAACACTACGAGGCCCTAAAATTCAAACTTAAAAAACACATCAACTTTATTTTATTTTATTTTTTTTGAGACGGAACCAAAAATACCTGTGTTGTGAACTTACATCAGCTCTAATCTAACACCCTCAGTTTCACCACGATGTTATCAGATGTGCAAATTTATATGCAAAGACTACATAACAAAAAAAAAAAAAACATGAAATTTTAAGTTTAGCAAATTAATTGTAATTTAAATTGCAAATTACCATTGTAATTGTTGTTGATCTGACCATACACAGATGGGGCAAATGGTTTAAACAGGAAGTATAGTGATCTTCTATTAAACATGGCTTATTTGCATTCTTACCCTAGAGTCCGATGCTGTGTCTTTTGGTTCTGCTAGATAAAACATAGAAAGTATATGTCACTGAACAGTATGTCTATTCTGTGCACACAATGCTTATCATAGCTGTCATACATCATCACAAAACTAAAACAAATGTCAGGAACAGAAAGCAAACAAGCTATAGAAGATACTGCCTGGGTGAACTTTGACATTATTAATTCCTTATTAATGAATAAACTAACATGCTTTTTCAAACTATATTAAAAAAGAAATTCCCTTACCAGCTTCTTCAGGTTTCTTCTTTCTGGGTATAAAAACGTGACAATTATAATATGGCATTTTTTAAAGGTTAAAATGTAAAATTCACACTTAAAAAAACAGTGTTACTTAAATTAAAATTTAATTTATTAAAATAAAACAAGTTGATTTTACTTAAAAACCTTCATATGTATTTGACATCCGTACACTGATGCCCTATTGACCACCAAAATAATGACACTAAAGTATTAGTAAAAAAGATGTATTAATTTGAAAGCTTAAATTCCAAATTTGCATCGTATTTTGTATATCTACAATGCATGCAAACAACCTTAATGTCACAACGACAAACTGACATCGAAAATTAGCGTTAAAAACATGTAGAAATCAATTACAGAACAGTTCTTTAATTTACTTTTTTAACCTGTTTTTTAAACAAATATTAGATGTCAGTTTGATGTCAATTTGACATCAAGGTAGTAAATTAACATCAAATCGGTCTGCATTTGTTACGTTTTTTTTTTTTGTGGTAACACTTTACATTCACACTACATGAATATTGATGTATTAATATGTAAATGAAACATTACTTTATTTTGAACTAATGATGAGTTAATTGCATGTGCTAGTTATGAACTAACGTTAGCTACAACATGAGTCACATGAGTTCATGTGTGAATAACCGCTACCCTAATTACCTGTTAGTACATGATTATTTGTTTACGGTTGATTTTTTGTATTAATTACCACATTAGTTAATGCTTAATTTAACCATGAACTCATGATATGTTAATGTATAGTTATATCATGACTTTACTTGAAGGGGCACATCAACATTAACACATTCTTAACAGCCAACAGCTAGCTCTCTGCAACTCTCACATTGTGTCCCACTAAGCATGTGTGGGAGACCACATAGGTAAGCTAGGTTGCTGCTGGAAGTGGTGTTGGTGAGTCCAGCAGGGGGCGCCCAACCTGCAGTCTGTGTGGGTCCTAATGCCCCAGTATAGTGACGAGAACTCTATACTGCTCAGTGAGCGCAGTCTTTCGGATGAGACGTTAAACTAAGGTCCTGACTCTCTGTGGTCATTAAAAATCCAAGGATATCCTTCGAAAAAAAGTTGGGGTTTAACCACGGCATCCTGGCCAAATCTGCCCACTGGCCTCTGTCCATCATGGCCTCCCAACTCTCCCCATATCATAATTGGCTTAATCACTCTGTCTCCTCTCCACCAATCAGCTGGTGTGCGGTCTGGCCGTTTCATCATCCTGGTGGATGCTGCACATTGGTGGTGAATGAGGAGATTCCCCCTATGTGTAAAGCACTTTGAGTGTCCAGAAAAGCACTATATAAATTTAAGGAATTATTATTATTAGTAACTACTCATGAACTCCTACTACAATGAAGGCGGCACAGCACACGAGCTGCTATTTCACTACTAGGGAGAAATGCTGTAAAAATCCATCTCAATCAATCTGCCCCTCTCTCACTTTTGACATTTGACCCACTGGCCTGTTTGTGAGGTAACTTTTCCTCTCCTGTTGGCTGTTAAAGCGATACTTGTGGATTCTGACACGAACGTGCCTGAGGTGCGAGTTTTCTCCACTGTGTCTGTTATGGATTACATGTGATAATTTTACACGTGTTTTTGCGCATATAGACTGTAACCACGGTTGTTCTTCCTGCCATTGGTGAACAGTGCTTTCATTTCAAAAGCCGATCGCAGCTCTTTCTGTAATGAGCATGAGAAGACAATGACCAATCATAGGTGTGTAAGACCTCAAAAGGCCTGTCAGTGCTCAAAAAGCAAGCGGGATAATATTTACATTAGTTTATTTGCTATAAATACTCATGTTGTCTTCTGTGCATGTGTTGGAGTTTTGTTTGATACATTAAAAAAGAGTGTTTTCTTTGAGCAGGACAAATTAAGGCTACAGTCAGGGCCGGAGCGTCCATAGAGGCAACCTAGGCAGCCGCCTAGGGCGGCAGTATAGAGAGGGCAGCATCCGCGACACCTCCCTCACCACCCGCGTCCTCAAATATATTCGCGCATAGATGACAAAATAGAGAGGGCGGCATGAGCGACACCTCCATCAGCACCCGCGTGTCCTCAGTTATATCCGCGCATAGGGCGGCAGAATTGAGGTCCGCGACACCTTCGCGTCCTCAGTTATATCCGCTCATAGGGCGGCAGAATAGAGAGCGCAGTGTCCACCTCCCTCCCTCCCTCCCTCAGCACCCGCACGTCCTCAGTTATATCCGCGCATAGTGCGCTGGAAAAGAGGTCTGCGACACCTCACTTCATTTTCATAACCGGTCACTTTCGTTTTCACATTGGGGTTGAGGGCGGCATAATCGCCCTCTGCCTAGAGCAGCAGTTCAGCTTGCTCCGGCCCTGGCTACAGTTCATATATCTCACTGCTGTATGAAAGGAAAAAATTGTATTGCAAATAATATATAAATATATTTATAGATTTTAATAAAAAAATAAAAAAACTTGTGTTGTGAAGAAAAAATCAAATTATGAATGGAAAGCATCGTCAGTGCACCGTGATGCACCAAGACATCAAATTGAACCAAATCTATAGCATGATAATCCTAACCGAACCAAACCGTGAGACCAGTGTAGATTCACACCCCTACTCCTTACAATTATAAACCTTGTTCTTGGCTACCCATGGAGGGTACCATAGTGACCAGCTTCTTCCGGTAGAATGTTCAGAAACCTCCATTTACAGCGTTTACAATCGGTAGTTTGCAATCCGAAAATGGGTTTCAATAGCACTATGAGTGGATTACGGAGTGTTTTTGTGACACAACTTTGAGAGGTGTGTGTTGAAGCTGTTATAATCAGATCTGTGGTTCGCGAGAGAAAAACGTTATCGTAAGCCATGTTTCTTTTCGTTCTCCTTAATCATGTGCTCCAAAAACGATATTTAAAATAAACAAAACAATATGATGTCTTTTGACTGCTTTCTTTAATAACTACATTACACAATACTTGTACTTTTACTTTCAGTACTTGTAGTCAATTTTGAAATAAACTACTTGCAATACTTAAGTACAAAAATGTTGAATACTTTAGTACTTCCACTTAAGTATGGAGCTTAAAGAGCACTTCAACTTCTACTCAAGTCAGTAAGTCTGCGTCTCTAGTACTTTATACATCTCTGTACTAAGGTAGTTGTTATTGACAAATGAACATATGTGACTTATGTTGTAGTTAACATTAGTTCATGATTAGCGCATGCATTACCTCATTATTAATTCATTATAAAGTAATGCTTAGTTTACATGTTAATACATCAATATTCATACAATATTAGTGTTACCATTTTTATGTAATTTTGACATCAAGATGCCCCCTTTTTTATCTTGTTGAACTTGGAATGGTAAAGTTGACTTATGTGCTCATAATTCATATACTTAATACTTTTTAGGCAATAATTTTAAGTGTTGAATCATTAACACAGAGTTATCACTAAGCCAGCAACCGTAGCCACAAGAAAACAGAGTTGTCCTACCTTCGCTTGCAGCTTGCAAAATTTCCCATAGTTCCAAGTTTGCCTCAATCTATTGAAACCACTTGGAAACAAGTGCTGAAACCGTGGTTTAAACCCAGCGTTTCCAACCTGTCAGATGTAGCTGAAGAAGAGAAGCTGATTCAGTGTACAGTTGTCAGACAACAGAGCCTGTATGTCGTTTGTATTTCCTGTGTTCTGTGGTTTTCATTTGCCACCGAGTGCAAGCTTATTTTCATGTGCGCGTTCATAACATCTATTGGTGGTCATTCTGCTTTCTCAAGACTTATCCGTCTAATAAACGTGTTGCTTGTTATTCCACAGCAAATACTGCGTGACCGATTATTTTCACCTAATCCCTCATGTGTCAAATGTATGCAAATATACTGTGCTGCACTGCAGAGGAAGAAAAAAAGCAGTGTGTCAGATATAGCACATTCTTTTATTCACTATATATTTTATAATGTTCAAATGTAGGTTATAATAAAAATGCCAACAACTAAATATGTCAGAGCATCTCTAGATGATAGCTAAATAGCTGTTTCTTAATACAACATTGTTTCCTCGAAGTGTGTTTAGAGATACTGCCTGTCAGTAGATGAACAGGAAGTTGGGCATTTCCTTCAAGACCACAGATGCAGAACATTCATAAACATGGACCACGTTGCTAATCAACAGAACCTAACTTATATTTTAATATATAGACATTAAAATATCTAAATATAGGGTTTAGTTAATTTTGTAGGCTGCTGTAAATGCCTGAAGTTCAACGACGATCTGTCTTAATCTAGGTCGTGAGTCTTCACTGTCAACATTTGCCCAGCAGGGGTCAGTAATAAAACACGCTGCGGTGATAAACGCGTGTATGATGAGGTAATCATCCCACCTCAAATTTTTAGCTTTTTGCCAGCATCTTGGCAGGAAGCCGGACAAGAAGAGCATTCAGTGCTTTTGCTGAACAGTCAGATGATGTAAATCTTTATCTTAATTTGTTTGTAGTTGATTTCAGTTGGATCATGAAACATTTACAATGGATCATCTTATTTAGTTTATTTGTTTTATTTATGATCATCTTTCCGCCGACTTTGGGTGAGAGTTAAACTTTTATTTACATTATTTGAGTTTCTGTTGAACATTGAATATAGTTTTATTGCAGTGGGGGTGTTTTATGAAGGGTTTAATGTTAATCTGGTCTTTTTTCTGTGCATTTATTCTACATGACTTTATCAATAATCAGTATTTGTACTATAGGTCAAGGCAGATGTATTTAACACATGATACACAGTACACATTTCAGTAGTGAATCTGAAATGAATGCAAAGTGACTTCACTATTTACTACAGATTTATTTATTTATTTATTTATTTAATTATGTTTTGTCTTTGGTTGCATATTTCACATTCATGGGTCTTTTCAAATGCACCAACAGTTCTTTAGAGTTGTGATAGGGATTATTAGAAGTTTAAAATGTTCTTCATGCTGAATACATCCCATCTAGAATAGTACACGTCTGTCTGCAAAACATATTTTAAAGAGTTGTTGGTCAATAAACAATGCTGTTTACAAAAACTATAAGTTGCTTTAAAAGGACTGCTGTACGAACATTCTATACTTGAAACATCTTAAAGATGTATTTTAAATGTCTGAACAGATATGTCTAATAGATGTAATGAAGAAAAGCAAATTCTCTGATAAATAAGCCTTCCACATGTGAAAACAAACATCAAACAGCGGCCTCTTTTATGTTCTTTTGTAAATATGTATATATCATTTTGTTATTTTTGTTAATATGTAGGTGAAAATCAAACATCTACATTGTTTAAAAAGAAAAATTGAGCTATGAGAGCAGTATTCATTTATGTGTAGTCAATGCATTCTGTGTTGATGAACTCAAATGATTACCTAAAATTTTTACCCCACCACAACTCAAAAAAATCTAATGCTCATATGATACCACATTGTGTGGCTTTTGGTTGGAATAATCAAAGGGCAACAAGAGGAGTTATGCAGAATTTCACTGCTTTCATTCACAGAGATGTCATTAATGTTATACTAAGCCATACATGTCTCAATAATAGCATTCCTTATTAAGGTGCCCTATAAAGAAAATCTGGGTATACTTCATAGGTGACTAATAAGAGTTTAGGATATGGAAAGTCCATTCTGTGAGCGTCAAACACTCATTCTCATATAAATTGTGTAGCTGTAAAACCTAGTGGAAAAACAGGCCAACAAGAACACGATAAAAACTGTTGCATTGCTCACGTGGATATTAGCATGCCCTCAAAATTTGCCTGAACTTTTCCCGGTGGTGGAAAGAGTACTGAAAAATCATACTTAAGTACCATTACTTGCCCAAAAATGTAGGGCAAGAGTTAAGGTATCTGTTGTAAATATTACTCAAAATATTAATAAAAAGCCCTTTAAAAGTCTCAAGAGTAGTGAATATTACGCTGGGAAAGGTTTATGCATTTACAGCACATGCAATTTGTGCGTGTGTGTAAACGTCACATTCTGTAGTGCATTTAGTTATTGTTTAAGGTCATTTCGGTTCTCATACAGTAAACATCCGTCATCTTCTTATCAGTGACATGCATTTAAACAGTCTCTGGGCTCTATTTTAATGACTTTGCGCCACGGCTCATTATCTAACAGGGTTGAGCTTATACTCTTAATGAGTTATGGGTGTGCTTTGAGAGTAAACTACTTTAAAACATTTTTACAGTACTGTGATGGTTGGGTTTAGGGTTTGGGTAGACATTTATAAAATACAATCAATGCAAAATTTCATAAATAATATAAAAAAAGAATAATATAAATGAGAAAGGTCTCTATAGAACATAGTTGATCAAGCGACTTAGCGTAAAACGTTTCTTGTGCCTAAACCAAACACAAAACAAATTTTTGATCCATTTTAAGGCCCTGTTTACACTAATGTTTTAGTTTGAAAACGCATAATTTTGCTACGGTTATCCGTCCACAATACGCCGGAGTTTTCGAGCGCTGAAAACGGAGCATTTTGAGTGCCGTTTTAGTTTAAAAATGCTTCTGCTCCGTGTTAGTGTGAATGGGGTAAAACGGAGACATCTGAAAACGGAGGCGGGGCTGCAGACATTCACCTATCTGATTGGAGCTTTTTCCTCAATGTTAAGTAGCCGACACAAAGTTCAGTCCTGCATCCTCTCCCTGTAAGTTCAGACTTCACAAGTTTGATATGGAAAAGATTAGATCCAGCGGGAGATCCATGATGAACCATCCAACGTACACAGCTCTCATCTGGGTGGTCATGCTGCAGTGCAAGCTAAAGTGTGTGGCCACGTGATGTGCCTTTTCAGCTCTTCAGAGAGTTGTTCAGAAATGCTAGGTAAAATGCCAGTGTGGACGTAGATTGTTTACATTCAAAAACACAGTTTTAATACTAAAACGTATTAACGGGACCTAATATCACAAGAATTTACTTTTTCTTATAGTTCTTGTTGTAAATGAAAATAAGGAAGTACATTTGTTCAATGTAGCCACGATTGAAATTGAGGCTATGATTTTGTAAAACAAGAGAGCAAACTGAGCATGGCTCTAAATGTAATAAAGTCCATAATGAAGCAAACCAATGACACTAACCTCAGTGTTTTAAATATCATTAAACAGGTACCTTTATGGGTTGGTGTTTTAAATCTGGGGGCTTGTCAGCAACATGAGCCTTTCACTGAATAATAACCCCATTCTCTCTCTTGTAAAAGGTGTGCACATATCTATAATAAGAGGATGGAATTTAATGTTTCCTCTACCTGAACTCCCACTAGTCAACATTAATACCATTGAATGGAAATACCACACAGTCAGAGACATCCTGCTGGCCACTATTAACCTAAAAACACAGCAAACAAAACTCTTCAGCAAGAGGACTGGAATGCAAATAATGGAGAATGGATCTCTTCACATTGAAGATTTAAAAGATGAAGACTCTGGGAACTACTCGTGCACCATCGTTTTCTATGATCAAAGGATGCAGATAGAGCAAATTTATCTTCAAGTACTTGATGGTACATTTACTTATTTATTCGTATTTATTTAGGTCATTTTGCAGTAATCAGACAATAGGATGGCAGAGTAACTGTCTCTGGAAAAACAATAGCAAAATCAGCAATGTATTGTATCAGGGGTGTGTTTGTTGGTAATAAGTAATGATTTGTGTTCTCTCCTAAAGATTTAAAGACTGAACCAACCAGCACAATTAACACAACTACTGCTGAAATCAAACAGCCAGGTATGTTTTTATCCATTCCATGTTTTGTGGCTATAATATTAATGGCAAATGCGATTCCTCAAATAACAACATACTTTAGACTTTCTCACACTGATCAGCCACAATATTAAAACTGCTTGCTTGATATTGTGGGTCCTTTTTGTGCAGCCAAAACAGCTTTGATGCATTTGATGCTTGTGTTGTCATGTAACATCATCATCAACCACCAATGTTCAGTTCCGATACTCAATGTCAGGTACAGAGGATGTGTGAAAGAACTTAAATGTGTTCTTTATATCGATGATGCAACGAATGAAGACTTGAGAGCAGTAAATGCTCATTCAAAGTTCCAGCTCTAGAATCGTTTTGGCCCTTTGTAATGCACTTGCTGTTTTTAAATCAAACTTAAAAATGTCTTTTAATAGTTTAGATTTTGATGGCATCAGAGAAATTCTTTTATTGCTTTCAGTTTATTACTTTCTTTTTGGTTGTCAGATGTGTGTTCTTATTAATATATTTTAAATATTTAATTCATATTAATATTTTGATTTAAAAAAAACATTATCTGTTCTTTAAGTGATTTATAAATAAACTTTTTTCCTGTGACTTTTGACTGCAGACAGACCAAGTCACACCAAAACAATGAAACCACACTGCTGTAGCACATGCAGAATGAAACCTGATCTAATAAACCACAGACTTTCCATTAAAGGTCATCATTGCAATTATAGCTGTTTTCATTAAACTCGCTCTCACCAGTTTGCATTTTTCTGACAACCTTGTCAAAGTGTTCTAATTTCCAGTAAATCTATGGGGAGTTTTAATTTTAAATAAGCCTGCGCTTCTGTTGAACTGTTATGCCGCTGTAAAGTCACTGAGTTTAAGATCTGATTTGATCTACATACCTGATTGGGACACAACATGAAGTGTGTCTCACACAGACAATATGCACTACATTAAAGGGCCATGACACCCCCCACTTTCGGTTAAAGTCTACTTCAGAATTTATTCAAAAGATGCATGATTAATGGGCGTGGAGCTCTGCAAGCATAGGGCAGGAGTGGGCGTGGCCAGCAGGGGAGAAGGGGAGCGAACGACTGTTG